AAACCTATTAAAATAATGTATAATATATTATGTATGATTATTTAAGCCATTATGTATGAACGTGTACTGTCGGAAACATTTACAGTGTTGATATCTGAATGTTTTGTTTGCACAAAATGCACAATTTTTTTGTTTATCTGGAGCTGTCTGTTAAATGCACAAATCGTAATATTAAACTATTGCACAATTGCCTCCTCTGACCGTGCTTATTCTTCGATGTTAAAGGGCAAGGTTGTGGCTCACGTCCACAGCGGTCGTGTTGAGTTTTAATAGAGAGTGGCGTCGTCGGCATGCGAGAACCACAGGCGAGCCGGTGCTACCATCATTTAGCCAAGCTCTGCTGGCCTCTATATATTTGGAGTGTTTCATACATTCTAAACGTCAGGGTCAAGGGGGTCAACACAACTACTCCCCATCGATGCCACCAATACACATCACCATCGCTTCTTTCCTTATGACAGAGAGTGCAGATGTTTCAAATGCGATCTGTGAGATCCGTCGTTCTTCGACTCATCATCACCACCACCACCATTTGTGGCTTAAGACAAGACCGCCCAAACAGTCTCATCGCCATCATCCCCGTCTGGAGTTAGGATGTCCCAATGTTACACGGGTCGTCCTTTTCTTCATGGATTACTTTTTGTCGAACAACCACCACCACCACATGCTCACAGCTCCGTGGCGGTGGAGCAGCTGCTTGGGTTTAGTGGCTGGTGACTTTTCGTGGTGGCGATTGACGAGGCTGGTGGAGGAGGTGGCGGTGGCTGCGAGTGATTGGTAAAGTTACGTGGTGTGATGGCTGCAGAGAGAGGTGGTAGGGGTTGGTCAGGGTGGTGGTGGTGGTGAGTATGTGGTGGAACGAACAAGAGGTGGGGTGGGATTGGCGTCTTGCTAAGTGCGTGTTAGAAGCGGTGGCAGTGGTTGTGCACTGGTGGGCTGGCCGTGGATAAGTGACTTGTGGTGGATAGTGGTTGGTGCTTCGTGCTGATGGTGGCGATTGTCGAGTGGCAGCCGTGCACATTTGCAGTATGTAAAAAAAAGCACAGGCAGAAACCAAAGCTGTTGAGGTGCCGATCACTGTGTTTATGATTTTTTTTGTTTTGTTTGTTAAGTACATCACCAACCACTTGCAGTTTCTACAGTAAGCACAAGAACCACCTAAAATCGAGATAGTGCTTTAAAATACAATCAGTTAAAACATCACAAGGCACAGGTGTCTTGTCATTGGCCTCTTGCCCCCACCACCCCCCCCCCCACACACCGGTCAAGCAGTGTTCATGATGACCGTGGGTGATTTAACAGTCGCTGTTCCAGTTACACGTGCTTACTTGTTTAATGGTTTCACAACCCATGCCCAGCCCTGGCAAATCGATGAATTATCGCAATTTGTGGTCACGATTCAACAAATCCTCTATATTATATTATATATATAAAAGAAACCGTGAATCCGGAAGCCACTGGTGGCTGCAGGGGAGGCTCAAGTAACCCCATAACATCCAAATTGTGAAAATGCAAATAAACATCGATTCCTACACACACAATTGAATGCACGTAACGAGGGCTTTAGAACTGAAAGTCATCAGCGAATCGATGACATATCGTTGCACCTCCACTCGTTCACATGTATATCGCCGCACGCACGCACAAATGTACACAGAGCACCTTTCGCATATGCGGTGATTTTTAACGACTATAAGTTTAACGCAACTGCATGTTACGGAGGGTGAGACAGCAGCAACAACAACAACAAAAACCTGAATCACGTGTGTGCGAGTTTCCAATTTAAGACTGAAAAAAAACCCAATGCTCTTTGGGTAAGACCCAACTGGCCACAGATTGTCTCTTTGTAACAGACGGTGACAAACGAGAGTTGTTTTCGATCAAGACATCGTCGCCCGTGAATCGTGACGGAAAACCAGGCCAATCGCGGCACGATCCAGCGGTCGCAAACGCAGGGTCCACACCGTTTTAAAAAAAATCACGTGCAGGAAAGATTACGGGGAAGGAAGATTCGCTTAACGCTAAAGCACACACTCAAACCGGAAGTTTCATTACAAAAATACTGTTTCCCTCGATCATAAGACGCCCATGGGCATAAATCCTGCACACTTTCGATGTTTGGTGCCGATAAAACTGAACTCGAATTATTTTAACGGGCATCTATGTATGTAGAACTTCTTTTGCACTGTACGTCGCCAACCGTGCAAATCTGAGGTGCGGGGGAAAGCCAACAAACGGGAGATTTGTAGCGGCCGCTTGTAATCCCAAGTGTGCTTTTCTCAACACGCAACCTGAGATTCAAATCCCAAGCTTTCACAACGCACAGCTGTGGGCATCATTAACGGCTGAAGATGCCCACAGTAAAGTCATTTCTTTCGAAAAATGAGAATAGGTTTTACCCTTTCCGGCAATAAAACAGGTGTTAAGAGGTTCAAACACCAAGTCTGCATTAACCACACGAACTTGTGGTGAACATGCAAACAAAAATGCTCTGATAATTATAAATGCATTGTCTTTGAAATTGATTGGCCTACACCAGACGCAACCTTCCTCATGGCAGAGTCTCGCCACCAGTGTCAGACCAGAGTACGCCAAAAGGCGAACAGCACAGAGACAATGCCACACGTGTCAGAGCATTCATAGCTCAGGGTGAGCAGCTATAGCATGGGGCTTATTTGCCAGTATCAAAGTATAAAAAAATAAGCATAGCTTTTACCCTTTCTATCAATAAAAAAATGATGCTAATTCCTTTAGAGCTGTTTTTTTTGTGTTTAAGTTTCTTGTCCTTCCCCCGCACCTCCGATTAGTACGGTCGGCTTACGTACGGCGCGAAAGAAGTTCAACTTACGCACGCGCATACGGTGCACGGTGAAAAGAAAAGCTCAAACACGCATCCCCAACCGAGTGAAGTCTCCGACGACTTCCTAGAATCCGAATAAAACAAACTTCCGCTCACTCTCCGTTGACGTCAACTCGATTACAGCGACCAAGCGGCCACACTTCACGACTCCGCGCTGACCTGCGTGCCGAGGTTCATACCGTCAAGCAAGCCTCACGACCTGCAACAGCGTAGGGGGAGGGGGCCCCTCGCCCAGCAGTGGATTGTACAAAAGGGCCGTGTGTGTAAATAGACGGCAAGCTGTTGTTTTTCGTATTGCACCAACACTCGTCCTAACCAGAAGATTGGGGTTACTTTGTTTGTCAATAGAAAGTAAACTGTTATAGATTATATTAACACATCTTCAAAAATGTAGAAACTAGTCAGGGAGTACAAATACAGGTTTTTAAAAAAAAAATCTATTACCTTACCGCACATAAAATAATTGCAAAAGAGCCATCGGGCATTGCTCAACTGCCTTCCTGTCATCGGATATCGCAAATGTGCGGCTAGGAGAGCAATTTCCTTCGGTTGCCTTGACAAGCGTAACCCTGTGCGGTCCTGCACAGCCCAAGCGCACACCCCGGCCACCACCAGGGCGAGGCAATGGAACGCGCCCTTTACCTCGCTGGCGTCTTCACAGGCATCGTTACGTCGGAGTCACGCCCCACCACACGCCACGTGGCTCTCGTCCAAAAACTTCAACACTACAGCGAACGCTCATTAACCTCCCACCACCCCCACTGCCACCGCCACACCAAAGGCAAAGATCCCCCGTATAACATGAACAGACTGTTGGGGCAAGTTCGGTCAGCGGGCACGTATGAAGGCCGGCACGGTACACGAGGGGGTTTGGTGGCCAGCACCACGCCCGGTCACCGCCTTTGTCTCTCCCTAGTTGGCGATGTTTACACACCGCCACCAGGTACTCAACCGAGGCCGAATCGACCTAGGGGATGGCTTAGGATCGGTTCAGATGATCGTCACCGGTGTTGGCCACGAGCTGGAATCGAACCGGGGTCGCCGGGTTCATAGCGCAGCTGCACCACCGCTCCCCTACATGAGCACGGAATCAGCACGCTTCCGCTTGCAGGAGCCACCGGGATTTTGTTATCCGAGGGTAACAACAAATTCCATGCAAATGTTGTAAATCGACTCCATAGCAATGCTTTATCCTCAGCCTAACTCATGCACATGGAGGGTCGGGGTAGAGTGGGCGAGACCTCACGTGTCCGGAGAGATAGTGCCGTCTTCTCATTGCTATGTTGTCTACATCACAGGTGGATTACACCGCCAATAAAAAACACGTCGGGACTCAGTTAGCGAAATATCGGGCTCATTTGATGTGGACTGTTGTAAAATCATAATACTGCAATTGTGTCACAGCCACTTTTCAATCCACTGCTGGATGAAGGCTTCCCCACGTCAAGCCAGTTTTCTTGGACCATGTTAAACCACGCTTGTCAGTGTGGATTGGTGAAGCGTACAAGTATGGTGCAACGATGGGTTGTTCTGCACTGCCGTTTGATGTGCACTATGTAGCCAATTCAAGTATCATCCAAGCTCCTTAGTGTGGGTAGAGTGGCACTCAAGACTGGCTCATACATTTACTCGCCACTGATGTTAGCCATGCCCGGGAATCCAACTCAAGATTGCTGTTTTTCTAGATGAGTGTTCCAACCACTGCACCATGTAGGCCTGTACGGTCATGGAGGTCTCTAACGAGTGGACACCCTGGCCAATTCGATGAAATTGACATGATTGGGGGGGGGGGGGATGCAAATTGATTCAAGAAAATCAATTATTATTTTCAGAAACATTGTGGCGCGTCCGCGGCGGTCTCGGCAACGGCACATGATGCTTACGAGCCCAGCGAATCGCTTCTGGCACGCACGCGACTCGTTGACACGCACGGCGAGCGCCAAGGGATCCGTTTTAAAAGCAAAGAAGCAGTGAGGCGTCGGCGCAGAACTACGGAAATGATAAAACGCGAAGCGGACAGCACCGTCTCCCTACGGACGATGTGCGCGCCAGCGCAATGCTACCGCTGCGGGGCGCGGGGTTGCGACAGAACAGTGATCTGACCGTCCGCTCGGGGCTAAAGTAACGGCGAAGAGGAAGACGATGAACAAAGCAGCGCGGCGGAGGCGGTGAGTGTACACATCGCGCACTTTGTCCTCTCGTCTCTTGTTCGCCCGATGGGTGGGGGGGGACTCGGGTAAACACAAAAAGTCGAGGAGCGAACGACACACAAAAGAGTACCCAGCTCCCACGTCTTGGAAAAAAAAAGTTTCCGCGAAACAATGTGATGCTCGTCCATGCTATTACTGGGGGTGGAACGCACGTCGCGATTCAGCGTCGACCGGTGCCGCTCGATTCAAGAATCCTTTTGTTTTTACTTTGTGTTAATGAAAGGTAGCGGCTTCTCTGAAGTGGCTACAGGGGTGACCAGAGCCCATGACACCAAGGGATTGAAAATAATTGATTCTTAAGCTATTTTTAAATGCTAGTCGGTATGGATTACTTTAGGGTGGGGCAGATTGTCCAAGACTGGTTCAGGATATCACTTGCCACTTGTGTTAGACATGGCCGGGAATCAAACTCAGACGGTTGGGTTCAAAGCACAGTGCGCTAACCACTGTGCACCAAAACTTACAATGTAGGCTCGTCTAAAAATATAAATTCCCACACACACACAGACGAATTGATGCACATATTCACGAGCATTAAGAATCCATATAAAATCTACGAATCAATACATTGTTCCACCCCTACTAATTACGTGGCACATTAGTCTTCCCAGAAGGCAATTGTCTACTCTGAGGTCATCACAACCCTGACCCCTGAACCCTAACCCTGCCACCCCCCCCACCCCTTCTTTAAAAACAACCGTGATTTGACCCTGATGTCGACGCATTGCTTTTTTAATCCGGCACTGGGTGGCAAATGTGCACCACGCACGGCCGTGACTCCACTGCCAAGCCACCAACAAAACAGCCGAGTGCCCTGGCCACCTGGCTTACCACAGCTCCGTTAATGATAAGCCACCTCTGGTGCCTTCAAACGAGTGTCAAGTCTCATGTTCTAAGTAATGAATATACAGTATATGTTTAAAAATATATATATTATATCGATAACATTTCGTACTGTTTGGGTAAAACGTTTATTTGTATTTTTTTTGTTACAATTTTTTTTGTATTATTATTATTGCTATTGCGGAAGCTTCCACGTGAAAAAATGACTGCGAGTTCCGCTATTATACCTCCTTCACTACGCGAGAGTTCATGAGGGCAGCCATAGGAACAGAACAACGGTGCAGCGCATGTAGACCTGCGTGCACGCGTCTGCGCGGAACATTCACGCTGGTTTCTGTTTCATTACCTGGAGGCAATTTCGTGGAACTGTCCACATTGCAGTTAAAAAAGAAATACATACACACTAAAAACAATAAAAGCCCCGAGCGTTCTAAAGTTTTTTCGGCGAATGAAAGACACCAGCAAAAAAAAATAAACCCTGCTTGGGATTTCCCCAAACCACCTCTCCCAATGCGGGCAAAAAAAAAATCCAGCAACAACAACAAAAATAATCAAATAAAAGTTTACAAGAGTTGAATTTCATAGCAACTAGGAGAGAGCAATGGCAGCCACATAGAAAGACAAGTTTTGGCAAGCCCTTCTACAAGCTAGTGGCCACAGCAACTCAGCTGGGTCATGGGACACCACAATGAGAAACTTCACTAAAATTCATACAGTGGCAGACATGCCGGGGGGACCCCGATAGTGAGGACCAGTAGGTTATTAAATACTCGTTAAGATTTTTAATGCCCACAGAGCCACTGACCGGGTTTGCTCACGTCACCTGAGCACGGCGAGGGCCCTTTCGCAAATCACCCCGTTCGCAAATCACCCCGTTCGTTTGTGGTCGTGGCTGCACTTGATGAGGGTTAGCGGAGGGAGCAAAAACGCCTCCCGATTCCAGTTGTGACGAGGCCGACGTGTCTTGGTTTGATGCCGTCTCATGTTCTAAGACCCAAGAAACACTCCCAACTGCGCAACCAAACACGCCCGTGCAATTACGCAAACTCTTTGGGCAGGCGCGCATGGAGGATGCTCGGTGCAAGAGGAGGTGTTCAAGGCCACGCGTGGAGACGAAGGGAGTCCAGGCCATTTGGGATCGATGAGATCACGTGGACGTAAAAAAATATGCCGGCACGGAACCCCGCGACTAACTGCGTCGACCGCCAACGACGGAACCTAGACTGTTGCTCGAGTCGGCCGCCAGCGAAGGCGACAGAGAGAGCGGGCCACCACCAACATTGCTTGGCTTGCGTTTTCCGACCAGGATCACTTCGATGCGGACACAATGATTCTCGGATGTGAAGGGGACGCGCGCGCCATGGCGCTTACAGCGGACGCTGTCCAACGTGGAACCGAACTCCTCGTCCACGCGTGCATCTGTCCGTCACAACCACTTTCCCCGTTGCCTCGCTCGCCGATGCAGTGTTCCGGGGACCTGGCGTGGCGTGCGAGCGAGCGAGCATCTGCGCGACCGGGCTGGGAGGGGGGGGGCGACGACGCCGGCTCAATTGTTCGCAGTTGCCGTCTGCTGCGGCTTCTGCAGCACGGCCGGCAGACCCGGCGGTTGTTTTTTGCGACGCTTGTTCAGGAGTGGGTTGCTCGAGTCTTCCAGCTTCTTGATCTTCACCTGGTCGTAGTCGACCCGCATCGTGGCCAGTGCGCTCGTCATCTCGTCCTGCGCACACGACGCACAAGCGACGTACACGTTCGCCGAGTTATTAAAGCGCCGTTGTCATCGCCGTGACGCTCCACAGCCGTGCCGCTCGCGTCCAACAACTCGGAATCCTGCTAGGAGCCTTTGGTCCGAGGCTATTGAGCTGCAGGGATCTGGACCACACATCAGGTGGCGGCACTTTCCCCACCCGCACTGCCACAAAGGGCGATGTTCATTGCATGGCAATCAAGTCAATATTTTAAATTAATTCATTCTCAAAGGTAGAATGTGCACAACTTGAGCAAAGAACCAAATTTCACAAAACAGTTTTTTATTTTGTCCAGTTGTTGGCAACCGGGCTGAGACCTTCAATGCCCTACGCCTGAAAGGCCAGTTTAATTACAGGCGGCTGGCCTGGATTAAAACACAGGACTTTAGTAGTGCAAGCGAGCTAAGTACTCTGATCTTTGCGCTACCTGACCAGCTCTTAAAAAAAAAAAACTCAATATTCATCAGCATTATGAGCACATGCAGACCTCTCCTCCAGCGACCCATCAACCCCACTGCCTGAGCCCCAACAGACTGCCAGTGAGCAGGATGAGCAGCACTCAGGCTAGCGTGGTAACACTTAAGACTTCAGATGATGTTACCTTCACTTCTTCCCAGAGTTCCTTCTCCTCTTTAAGCACCCGGCTGGTGTGTAGAGGCGTCTGCGGCACCTCCATTAATTGCTGCAAAATTGGAATGAAACAAACGCAGATCAGTCATGACACTTTCTCTGTGCAACTATACAGTTAAAAAATTGTAAAAAAATTTTTAACAATATCATTGCCTCTCAACTACCCGAGTGTGTTAAGTGAAAATGTTCAATATGTTTACGCGCGTGGTGGTTTAGTTAGACTGCTCCTCACTCGTCAAGGGTCAGTGACTCTGAATTCACGTGGACCACAAAAAACATTGAGCCGATCCCGTTAAGAAGCAATAAAACCTGGTGTCACACGTTACGTCTTCTGCCCCATTCTAGGAAAGTAAACGATAAATGCGCATTTATAGGCGAAAATATTTTGCACCGTCTGTCTGTGTTATCGTAAAAAAAAGACACACGGGTCGTGAAAACAATTGAGAAAGCAGCGCGACAAACCGGACGTAGGGCTACTAGAACACCTTGAGGCCAAGTCAACGATGAATCGACAGTTCTTCTTTCGTGTTACTGATGTATATGCAGAGCAACAACTACAATTTCACATTCAGGTGGTCAAGCGATTCAACCGCATAAGGAGCAACGGAGCGTATTGCTGTGAATTGTTATGTGAATTAACAATTAGCAGCAGCGAGGGGAATTTAGGAAGAGGTGACACCTTCAACAGAGGTAGAAAATAGAGAGAGGTGGGAAACCAATTGTTAGAGTGTTCTTTGGGATGTCACTCGTTTAACGGAGGAGAGAAGGGAGATCTCCCAAGCCTGATTCTGAGAGAAGGCAGAGGCATGGGCAACTAGGAAGAGTAAATTCCAAACAGCTGCACACAGAGACAAAGATCCCCTGGTATAGCCTACAAAGGCTGTCAGGGCAAGTGCTGTTACAACCTATGAAGGGCAGAACGGCATTCTAGGCGGGGGAGTCATTACGTCTCCCAGCTAAGTCTCCACAGTGTCGATGTTGGACACACCGCAGCAGCTACTCATGGAAGGCTGAGTCTACCTATGGGGAGGCACGGGACAGGTTCAGATATTCACCACCGATGATGGCCACCAGTGGGAATCGGCACGTAAGTTCACCGATTTTATACAGTGTAGAGATTACCAACAGGCCACCGCTTTCCCTACAACAACAACGGCCATTCACCATTAAGTGGCGGTGAAATTACCACGGTACTTGTGCCAACTAGACGCACTTTGAGGCCACGTGAAATGCTCGCAGGTCACGGAACAGACCCAGGTGCCATGGGTTGACCGACTGAGATGACTGGCAGATGTACCAACTGTGCCAACTTTTTTGCGTTTTAGCCACCTGGCGCTCTGCTCGTTGTTGTGAGCGTATCTCCTCTGCCCTCCATTGTTGCTCGAGGGAAACTGCCTCCAACTCCCCAGCATCGTCCATCATGAACCTCCTCCAGAGGCCTTTCTTGACACTGCTAGTACCAGTCATCGGCAAATCCAATCAGCTCCACATCCTTCTGTACCACATCAGTCCATCTCTTCTCTAGCCCGTGCCGCACCCATTTAGCCCCATCTTTTCAGCCAAACAGAAGCTGCTTGGTGATGCGGTGGCTGGGAATATGCGGACTACACGACCCGCATGTAGCTTTCTCTACACACACACACAAGCTAGCGCACGCGCGTCTGCGTCAGCGCTGGAGTGAGGTTACACCACAGCCTGACTGGGCAATCTGAGCGCATTGCGGCAGCACGTACGTTTATCCAGGGGTGGTTCATGAACTCGGCGATGGTCATGCGTTCCGTCGGATCCGTCTTGAGAAGCTTTCGGATGACCTGCTTGGCTGCGAGCAGAGCACAACGAAAGGACGGAATGGCACCGACCTCTAGCGCATACGTACGCCAAAGCCTTCAGAGACAGTTGGGGCAAGTGCAGCTTGCGGGCATTTATGAGGGCCAGCACCGCACACGAGGGGGTGGATGGCCAGCCCCAGGCCCGACCGCCTTTCTCTCCCCAGTGGCGATGTTTACGCACCGCACCAGGTACTCATTTGAAGCCGAGTCGACATAGGGGAGGCCCAGGACCGGCTCACTAACCGCTCCACACAAAGAGAAACACGCACACAAACAGGCCAAACGTGGTTGGTGGCTTAGTCGCACGAGAGGTGTTTTTGGGCCCGTCTCGCTCACCTTCCTCGGACACGGCCGTCCACTCTGGGCTGGGGAATTCGTACTGGCCCAGGCGGATGCGCTTCTTCATTCCGGGGGAGATGGCAAGGCCGTGGTTCGAGTAGAACGGAGGGAACCCGCACAGCCTGGGGGGGGTGGGGTGCGCGTGGTCACACAAAAGCCGGGTCACGCCGTAGAGTGCCATTACTGTGGATGACCATGGTCCCCGCCATTGGACTGTGGAGTTCGCACAGCTAGGTAAGAGCCAACAAGAGTGACGAGTGCCTCCTCGATAATCACTAGACCCACGACATTTTGACCGAGCGCATCGCGCAAATGATGACGATGACGACTGTGATATTGACGGTGACGATGGCGATTACGACGATGACGGCGATGTTGGTTGCCGCCGCCGCCACGCTCGTAAGACGACGCTGCCGACTGCCACAGTGGAACCAAAACGCGTCACCGTCACGCTGTGCCAAATCCGCTGACGCAAAAGTGTGAGAAACGACGTCTGGCGGCAGCGTGTTGACTTACAGGATGTACATGATGACGCCGAGGGACCACATGTCGCACGACTTGTCGTATTTTTCTGGCCCCAAGACTTCTGGAGCTGAAATAAAAAAAAACCCACAACACACGAAACACCTCGGCGTACGTAACTAACCACAAGCGCAAGGTGAGAGATTGTCGGTTGAGGGTGTGTTAATCAGGTGCCTGCCACAAAAGCCTACTTCGCACGCTTCGTGGCCCTGCGGGGGATATACGCTAACGTCAATTATAAATACTAATTATTGCGGACGGCAACACTCGACGTAGAAAAATAAATTAAATGGCGGTCGTGATTTACATGTACGACCGCGTACTGTGTATTGGAGATCAGATGGGTAGACACGCGGAATATATTGTGTTTCCGTTGCATTCTGAGATTGGTGCTGTGGCCTACGCACGTGACTCTGAATATCGGAGGGAAGGGATGGAGGATCACGCAGAGTTTGTGCAACTCCCAAACCGACTGGGCTGTAATGTGACCAAGGAGATAGAAATACAGGAAATGGATTCTTGAGAATTCATCTGTGAGGAGCTTTAAAAGTTCAACTCCCAGTTTCCTCCCCCGTGAAGCCGAATGCTAATATTGGATTTGGCCAAACATCCCACGCAGGGCCCCCTCCTGAAACGAGTCTTGAGACACAGCAAGGCTCTGCCGAGTCAAGGACATTCACATTGAGCATTAATATTACGAATCAAAAACTTCATCCCCAGTCAGCCCCCCTCCACGTATGCACGCACGTATGTTGAACTTCTGTCGCACCTTACAGCAGCCGAAAGTGCTAATCGGAGGTGCGGAGGAAGGACAACAAACTACACTAGGAGCAGCAGTGTAGCTATCGAGTGTGCGGGCAGTGCAACTCGACCAGGGCCGACTGCCTGTAGGGGCCCTAGAGATGGGGGGGGGAGGGAGGGGAAATTAGGCAGGGAGCCCCACCATTTAATTCCTTGCAACAGAGGCCCATGCCAGCCAAGCTATGCCACAGTCACACAGGCATCCCAAATACAACTAAAACTAAACTATTTTTTATTTTACCAAATGAGGCCCACTGGGCTATGTAGCTCTTCTTCAGAAACGGCCTGGCTATCGCAAATGATAGCTCAACGAAGTGGCTTTTCACGTGGATTTTAAAAGCAGGCCAAATACTCAAAAACGCACGTTAATTCTAAATGCGACCACAGGGAGAGAGAAAGAGAGACATGCAAACTCCAAATATAAAGACGTCAGGTTCGGGATCTCCAACCCCAGACCTCCTGTATACCAGGTGGGGTAATTAAAATCTTGCCACCGTGGCACCCCATGCAGCCCTCCACATCCGGGAGAGGGTGCACGCAGGGGTACAGGAAGAGAGACAAGCAAGGAAGATACCGGTGAGAAGGGATCGGGGAAAGGAATTGTAAGAAGCAGAGGTGAGACAGGGAGTCGAGACTTGCGGAGGACCGGTAGGGCAGGATGTCCGCGTGACCGGTGGTGGGAGTAAAGAAGAGGGGGGGCGACTGCGGCGGGCTGGGGGGGGGGGTACGGCGCAGGCGCGGGGCGCTCACCGACGTAGTAGGGCGTGTAGCACGGCGTCGCTAGCGAGTTGAAGCTGAGCGTCTCCTTAGCGAAGCCGAAGTCGGTGAGCTTGAGCACGGGGTCCGATCGCCTCGACGTATACAGGAGGTTCTCGGGCTGCGCCAGCACGAACAATGGAAATGTAAGGGGGGAGGGGCATACAAACCACACAAAAAAAAGACTAGGAATTTATAAGGCGTTGCTCTTACAGGGGCACTTTTAAACGCTTCGGATGCCGCCGTAGTGCAATGGTTGGGCAGGATGGAGTTGTTGTCCAGAGGTCGCTGGTTTGATCTCCCGGCACCGCAGTTAAAACGAGGGTGCAAGTTTGTTAAGTTGCCCCCCGCCTCCATCCACCCAGAAGTATAGATGTGGGGCACGTCACAGTTAGTCGGACGGCAGGTCGCGCGCGGTGGAATAAATTGTGGGTGCTCCCATCTCTAGCAAGGCTTGTGGCCAGTTTGGAAGAGTAGGCCAAACACCCTCCAGAGAGGGGTTTTATAGAGCTCCCTCTAGTGGAGGCGGCTAATCAGTCGGATTAGGACGGTTGGCTACGTGCGGTGCGTAAGAAGTTCAACATACGTGCAACATTCATAGTCAGCAGTAACGCGAGCGAAAAATTTCAGGGCGGCACATTTACCCCCTCTTTAAAATGCCTCGGTATCTCGAGGGCAGGTTATGCCACACATCTCATTTCAAGTGTTGCATTGCCCTGCGGCTTCTAACCTAGGGGAGGAACCCCCCCCTCCCCCAGCGGTAACCATCTCCGACACGACACAATGAGACTTAGGGGGGCGTGGCAAAGTCGCGCATTTTTATGATCAGACTGAGCGCTGTACAACGACTCGAGTCTGACACGATACGAGAAACGAGGGAGAGACAGGAAGAGAGACGGGGATCCAGGACTGCCAACCCCTGGATTGGGGAGAGACTGAAGGAGGGACCACGTGGATTAGATAATATGCAGGTTAATGACATCCAAGAAAATGTTACCTTGGCCAGGACACGCTGGAAGGGACGATGGGCCAATGGTGAAGAACAATAATGGAGTGGCAACCAATGAATAACAGCAGGGAGATAGAGCAACGAAATCAATTTGTGAGCAGGTGTCGGGTGAATTATTACATCGCAGGATAATGAGGTGGTTGGTGGCTTGCGCAGGCCTTCATCCAGCAGTGGATCGACCATGGTTGATGATGACGACGATCACAAAACAAATCATATCCAAATGTAAACAAATGCCCTCTCGTGATCCCCGACAAGCAACAAACCAAACCGGCTGGGCCGTTAAAGTGAAAGCCACCGAGTCTGGCCGTTTTTTGTGAGAATTTGTTACAATACAAATAATTAAATAAACGCGGTAAGAAAAGTTCAAATCGCGCTTCGTAAGTTTACTTGTTTCAAGAAAGCACGGATGACGTAGTGTACGAGGCTAAGGGTAGGGGAAAGTTTGACAGTGATTTATGGAAGAGGTTTCAGGGAACATTTTGCCTCCCCACCAATATTGCCCCATAGAACGTATAGAAACCAGTTCAAATTGCCATCACGTGAACCGCATAATGTCGTGAACGGTCATCGACTGAAACTATATACTTAGCAACGGCTTACTGATGTAGTGAGCATCACGTATGGAAATACACATCTGGAGTAAATGCAGAGTTGAGAAGGGGTCTTGAAAAATATACTTTTTTAGTCTTCTTTTTTTACCAAAGCAAATGAAGGAACTTTGTCTGACTTCTGAATATTTGCCGTGGTATATGTTTTTGGTTCAACAACACCACGCTGCCAAGCCCTTCACACTTCACTGGATTTCTGAACCAAAATAAATGAACTTTTAAATACCATGGCCTTAACTGACCTTTGACCAAACACCACCCGGTGGAATGTGCCCAGATCGCCTCACATCTCAGAAGCTAAGCTGGTCTGAGCCTAGACCAGCAACATTCGCTGTGCGACCACCGTTCATTTACAGGCGTTATCGGCTGCGGCAGAGCTGCATTGTTAGCAGCAGAGGGGGCATTGCAGTAACATCTATTGTACTGTACTGCCAAGTCTGTTCTCCCTGCATTCACAAACCCACACTGACAAGAGTGTTGAAGTATGGTCAAATACACCACGTGATCCGCGGGGTTGAATTTTTATAAATCGTCGGAAAATCATGAGGAGCCTGGGCCTTTACGTGCTATGCTCCCTGACTCTGGAACACTTATTACAAGCCATAGCAGGGGTGCAGCTGGCAAAATCAAATATTTCAAATCAAATCTTTCAAATCAAATTCAAGTCCATCAACCCATAGGCTTTCCAGAACAATATTATCAAGCAGCATTTCGTTCAAGCAAGCAAACTGCGGAATGGTTTTAGCCTTCTTGAATCTCATTAGCATAGTCTGGAATGTTTATGAAATGTGGCCAGATTACCAGATCTTATTGGCATCAATAACATCTGGGGCCTCATTCAGCGCAAATGGCAAAACTGCTTGAATTAGCTTATGTTTGATCGGGACTGATCGAGCAATGGCTTTGAGTTTTATTTTATTTTCCAGAGTCCTGGGGATGCTGTGCATGAAGGGAGCCGCGTTAATGTAAAACGATATCGTGTCATGGTGGGGGAGATGGCAACGACTTGCCTTGACGTCACGGTGAGCGATGTTGATGGAGTGAAGGTGTTCGATAGCCCTCCCGATGTCTCTCATGATCTCTGACGCTTCTGCATTGTTGAAAGAGGCGACGGCATTGTGGAGTTAATCGACAAAAACAAAATCAACACGAATCACTTGCGTTAGTGCGTTACAGTGCATACAGTGCGTGCGCACACACGCGCAGCAAAATAGTACAATGAAACCAAATCGTACCCAGAGAAGAAAAAAACCAGACCAAGATAAAATCACAGAAAGGAACTCCAAAGTTTCACAATTACGAAGCTACTAACCAATGGAGGGGCAAGCGTGCCTCTGCATTATCTTCGTTTTACCCCGAATCCATTTTACAAATCTCTAATGCATCATCACAGCAGTTTGTAAATGATCTTCAATAGATGACCGATTCTCCCCAGCCTTTGCCTCGCCCGTTCCCTTAGTCGTCCCCGCCGTCTCCCCATCGGGACCCACCTCGCTCGGTGAACGCCTGATCGCCCCGGTCCTGGATTCTGTTGAAGAGTTCGCCGCCTTCCATGCTGCCGACGGGGGGGTGGGGGGGGGCAAGAGGGAAACACAAAGCCTAGAAGCGTCACTGTCACGTCCTCAAAAAGCCGGGGTGGTGCGCGATACCGGCCGAGCGCTGTCGCGCAAATAGACACTCGCCGCAAAGGGTCCAGTGGCAACGCCGACTTAATACTGCGGGGTGAATTCACGCCGTTAACCTTCACAGTGAATGTTAAATGCCCCGTGACGATGTTCTATAGGCGATTGTGTGCAAATTAATTGGGGGAAAAGCTACAAAGCAACATCGCCAGCGACTGGCGGACTATACACATACGTGAAACATCGTGATTTTCTAGGATAGCCTTGCGCGATAAGAACGGCACAATATTCCAAATGTACGAAATTATTATGATTATCAATCCAACTGAGCAGAATTTTCAGTTGTTAATTGTGCTCAGTCACAACGGCTTATGACAAAATCACATATTTCAGGGTTAAAAGCGTGGACAGTGCTTGGATGGGTTGACACCATGCACAAGACAGGTGCTGTAGTTATGTTATGAGTAGCATACAATAATGCAGCAAAGTCCATTTTTGTATCCACTTCTAAGCTGCTCTGCTTACCGTCTTAATCAATTTCGCATGTCCTGCATGGTGACGTATGAGCCTTTGAAAATCCATAGTCTGATGTATAAAGCGATTAGACTTGAAGAACCTAAATGTTATTGTGTACATGTTTTGTTTTTGTTAAGCGTGATATTTTATTTTTTTACACGTGCCATAATATACCCTTGTCTGTTGTTTATTTCATGATCGTCATTTACCCGAAACCTTAAACAACGTAGACCACATGTGGTATATTTATTTAATGAGCACCAGATTTCCATGTTCTTCGTGCTTGGAATCAACAACAAACTGTGGGACTTTTACATTGCCAAGCGAAGCAATCACTTAGTCTGGTCGTTTTAACGGGCTGCAATCTATGCGTTTAAATGGGGGCTCTTTATGGTTGGCATACAAACCACACTTGAACTTGGAAATCACAGCATGGCAAGTGGTTTCCACGGTCAGCAAAAACCGAGTAGTAATTTCCTCATATAAATGGCCTCAAGAATGACGACATAGTTTACACTGCCCGTATATGTACTGTCGTTCAACTGCATTCACAAGATAGCATGTACGTTCATTAGTCTATTTATCCAAACGCTATCGGAAGACACCTGTGCACACAAACGATCTTTCTAGGCGGTGGACAACCATCAACTGCTGAGCAACGAGTAATATCTCCTGCGGTCCACCTTTCACTTCCTTGCTCCGTGCCCTGCTACCGAGACTCTTACCCATGCCTTCGTCAAATCATCGACTCAATGAGCGCAACCCTCTCCGCTAAACCCGTCCCTACCCCTTCACCCACAAACTCCAGGTGACGCAGGGTGCTACCACCGAACATCTCACCGGCGCCCATTAATTTGCCCACGTCGCTCCGGCCTAAAAGGTCCCTCTCTCCGCTGGCTTCTTCAGCGAGAAATAGCGCGAGCAAGGAGGGCTGCATCTTCTATTGAGCCATGTACGCACTGTCGTATGTACCCGGAGGCGGCCACTCCGCGGTTGAAACGTTCACGCGCGCGCTATTCAGTACATTCACTGCTACAATCCTAATGGAATCGGTTACCGACATTCGAAATCGGTGATCGTTGACGAAAACGATTACCGATTGACCAGTTACCGTTGAACAATCCTCTATCGAAGTCCTCGGTGAACTTTCATTCCATGGGAGGTCACACTTTTCTCTGCTGCTGACCCCACAGAGAGGAATTATCCTCCTCTGATCATCACAGTGCTAAGGCACCTGCCCTGCTCAAGTCTGAAGTCAAGGGTCAAGACCTCTCTGTTCTCTTCCGCCTATGACTGTCTCTTTCTCTCTCTCTACGAAGTGTCTTTGTTGTCACTTTTAAAATCGTGACATCTCAATTCCTCCCTGGCTTGTGCCATTCTTGCATTTATTAATTGCTCGAAAACAACAAAAAAGCAAACTCTTCTTTCTTTAAAACTCCGCGGATATGCACCTTCCCCCCAAATTTGTACATAATCTTGAGATGCCACGTAATTTTAGACGCTTCACAAATCCAAACTCTACTCCCTTGGTATTTCACCAAGTATGGTGAACCCGGCAACCCCAGCATGATTCCTGGTCTAAGCTAACATCGATGCCAAGTGATATCTGAAATGGTCATAGGCAAGCGCCCTCTCGCAACCGGCACGAATCAGCGTCAAGCATGAACAAGACAACCACCCCATGACCCACATGGTGGCGTGCACTGACACAAAAGGGTTGCAAATGTATTTAAAATGTTTATTTTGTTTTTGGCAAATAACACCAGGGCTAAATATTAGGTTAAGTTGGTAGACAACCTCTGCCACGCAAGTGGCTTCCTGAACAGTACTGATAATATAATTAGTTAAATGCATTGATTAATTGATTATCAAAATTGTAATGCTTTGTTTCTAATTAAAATAATTGTCAGCCGTTTAAAAAGTGAGGGCACCGCGCACACCCGGCCTTAAAAAAAAAGGAAATGCACTCGCTGCATGTGCTCCCGATTTTTGAAACAATCCGAGAATCTTAAAAAAAAAAATCAATCCAAGATACGAAATTTCTACCAATGTAAACCGAGCCGTTGTTTTACACGGATCTGAAACCTGCCAAAAAATGTGTTGCGTTGCATCGGTAGATTTCATTCTTGGTAGTGCTTAGAAATGTTTACACGAGTACACAATGTAAGTGTGACCTGTGAATGTGAAATTTTATCTTTAAAGATTGGAAAATCCGAACAGTTTTTCATCCATAACCCATCCCTTACCGCCATGCACGTCCAGCAAGACGTGGCGGCGATGAGCGATGACAATGACGACATCGTCATCACCTGCCCCCAACTCAACCTCGGGCACTTTAAACACATCTGGAATCTCATCTGTGAACATTGCTCATTAATTCATGAAAAAAGCGATCGACTTATTTTTTGTATTAAATGGATCAGCCATTATAATCACAACAATAATCGATGGATCAATCGATTATTTAGCCGCAACGCCGGTGTGCACATCGTCACCGGGAGAAACCTGTTTTCAACGAGCGGTCATCAAACCCACCGTCTGTTCCACTTGGCACGACGGCACAGCCAGCATTCCTGTTCCACCACCGGTGGTGACATTTCAAGCGAGCTCTCTCGCATTTAATTTTCTCGCAAGTGTTACTGCTTCTCTGCGGCTGGGGGATTTTTTCGCAAGCTAAAATTAACCGCACAAAACTTGCAAGTCGGGATTCGTGTGGCAGCTCCCTCCCTCCCCCTGCTGCTGCTAGAACGTTGAGTGGGGGGGTAGCAATGCCCCCACGTGGCCAAGTCAACCACCTTCCAGTGGCACGTGCACAGACACACCTCACAATTTTTTCATTTATTTCCTTACTCTTAGACGCCTTTGCTATATTCGACTATTGGATGAAGGCCTCCCCACATGCCGCGCTTATCAAATTACACACTCGTGCGTTAATAATTGTTTTAAAAAGTGAGAATTATTTCACAAACCACCAGCTTAACGTTCGTAATTCCAGCAGGGCCGCGTGCAAGCTAATTACCATATTCTCTGGATTATAAGATGCATCGGAAAGAAAGGTGCACCCAAAAAAACTTGTGCCAAGTGTCAATTAAGTTTTACAAATCTGGTCTCAGACACATACACACCGACCAGATTATAAAATTAAACCCCCAACATATGCTTTAAATACGGGGGGGGAAAGGTGTCTTATTATCTGGAGAAGACGGTAATTCACACTTCAATATATTCTTCGCGAGCATGGGGATAGTGGTGTTTAAGATGGCTTAAGCATGGTAAGTTGTGTCGATTCTGTTTCATTGTTTTATTGTTTTATTTGTTAATGCTACTTAAATTATATATATATTCTTTAAATCTAGAATTATATATTGCTTGTGTATAATGATGATCTTTGTATGGTCGCCTGGGAGGGTCTGGAGAGACGCAGTTGTATTTAGATAATTTTTTTAATCCAACGTGTTATTATTTCCTTTACAACTTACGATGTGTTCGATTACAATCACATGGCTGCCGAGTAAGACACAATATCTCCTCTACAAAGGAGACGTTAGACCCAAACAAACAATTACCAATTACAGTGATTCCAATTAATTTAGGATTATAATAACTAGCTACTTGCCTTAATGTGAGAGCATGTGAACGACTAGTTTCATCAGCCGGAGCTAATAGGGGAACAAAAATATAGAAGACACGACCACAATACTTAATTTAAAAAGATGCACATCATCGGTTGATGTGCGTTTTTCTTCTGGGAATCGGCTTTGTTCGCAGAAAACGTTGTGGTCAAGACAAAAATGCATTTGTTTCATTTCCCAAAATGTATTTTACCCTGGCAACAAATAACGCAATGGTGCAGAGAGCCTGCCAAACCCCTATCTTCTTGAGACGTTCGCCACAAAAATGACAGTCATTTGACTCTTGGCAAGGAAGGTTAAAGGTGTATCAAGGCGCTAACCTGCAACTGCTTGCTCACGCCACTTCAGAGCCTCCACTCGTGGCAGCTCTAGAAAACCCCCTCTCTGGAGGGTATTTGGCCTCCTCTTCCACGTTGGCCAGATGTCTTGGAAGAGGCTGGGGGGGATACCCATGCTTTACCCCACTGCGCCAGATGTGCAGCAAATCGCACACGATGTGCAGCAAATTGGGCACTTCAGTTGGCGGTCAACGTTGGAAGTGGACCGCTACCCTCAAAGGAATGGCGCTGCTTCCCGTGGTCGCCCCCCGCCCCCCACCGTGGATCAAACAAATCACTCGAGACACGTCGGTGTATGTCAGCAAGAGCAGTTATCACGTGATCGCTGTCGCAAGGCGTCACACGTTTGGCGCAATGGTCCTTTGCTGACCACGCGCGATGAATGAATGACGTGACCTGCCGATCGATCGGCTATCTGCCGTGAACCCATTTGTACTGCTGGGTGGAAAGAGCCAATGGGGGGGGGGGGGGGATTTAAAAAAACTGGCACCACCGTTTCAACTACCATGCCACGGGGTTTCAAGCGGCGACCTCTGGATTGTACCGTCCAGCTAACCGCGACACCGCGGCAGCTTCCCCAACCCACGTACACCTAAAGCTTAAAAACTGCCCAGCGGAGCGCGCACACCATTATAACGTGGAACACGCACACCGTTACAAAGCGCTTTCTGAGCGGTCGATGACGAACTACTTTCTTGAGCTGCGCGGCTGAGCGGTACAGTGATAGAGTACGCGGAATGATAAAGTAGCGCGGCGGTGGCGTATTTAACTGTTACGTGGAGGCGAGCGGAGGTCAGTTTACTTATTGTACACAAAATGTGATGGGTTATAGTTGTTTAACATTCCAATAAGCACGGGTGTGAAAGAAGTTCAACATAGATGCATACAACATTCCTTCCTGCAAGGGGCATGCTTCCTTCTGCACTGGCACTTCGTTTATGTAATTACATTTACCACCAGGTGAGGGAACCCCACGTTTGGTTGAAAACAAAACTGAGCATAGCACGTTTCAACACTGTTGGCTTTTCCCTCCGGCCATAACGAAAGAATTTTGCCGGCATTGCTCTTGTGAATGAGGCCAATCAAGATGTTTAAGGTTATAAACATTTTTTTTACTCGGTTCACCCACCTCCGCATTGCCTTAAAGCTGCGATTTCTTATTTAAAGACAAGTTAACCTGGGTCGACCGTAGCCTTCAACTTGGTTAGGTGTTTATAAGGGATGTAACAATTTAACAATTCACCGCAATCTCCTCCACTAACCCCAAGCATTCAATGAACTTTCATCATTCAGAGCAGCAACTCAAGCAAAGAATGTATTCATTTCAATTATTCTGGCGAACACAGCTGCTTGAGGGGTCACGTGAACCCATAACTTACAACGTGCCCACGTGATTCAGTGCAAGTATCATGATGTATTTAGTCAATGCATCGGCACGACCCGAGGTATTGGTCCTAACCCTAACCCTGAAAGCATAAAGTATTTTACAGCCATTTGTGAATCCACTGCTGGATGAAGGCCTGCCCGTGCCGTGCCGGCCATGGGGACTATTAGACAATACTACATCACGATGGTCAACGCGGGTTGGTTAAAGCTGGGAGCATAGACTTGCGCTATAGCACAATACGACAATGGGTTTTTTTCACTGCCCTCTGGTGCTCAATACGTGGCCCCACAGCCGCCTATAACAACTGTTTGTGCAAGGTGGTCGCCCATCCAGTCGCCATCCAGGCTCGACCGTGCTTAGCATCTGAGATTTGTAGAGATGGGATGCTTTCCGATTTATCTGTCCATACTTGGCAAATGTTGTACAAAACAGATCGTAAAACGGTTACCATCCACCACACAATGTCTTGCCACATCACAACACGTTACACCAAGCCACGCCACACCTCTAACCTCCACACGAAATCACACGATGCCACAACGCACCTTCTTCCTCTTATTCATGGAGAGATGAGAAACATGGCAAGAGCTCAAATAAGGTTGACTCAGATCGCTAGAGGGACGTGTCATAATAAGAGAGGAAAACCACATCGGAAGAAAACAAGGCGACGGGCATAGAAGCACCAGGGCTGAGACCGATAGGCCTTAGGAAGAGTCGGTTCCAAGTGGCAAGCCAGGATGTCTAGGGCCGTGGAATGGACGTAGAGATGACAGCCCAGGACAGGATTAGGTTGGGGAAAGGAGGACACCAGGAAGGCACACCCCCCCCCACAAACAAGTGGGGAAAATGCCAGGGATAAGAAGGTGACACCAGGCCACGCCACACCATTAACACCAAATCAAGCCACGTGATACCAAGCTATACCAAGACAAACCCAGGCCATGTCGAAACAAGCCACAACCATGTCACGTGACAACACATGACGTCAGACCACGCAACACGTCTCGTCGCACCACGGACACGCAAAGCCACAACAACCGCATGGCACCGCGCAACACAGCATCCATTCAGTCACGCCAAGGAACGCCATAACCAGCCACGCCATTGTGTCACAACGACAACAAAAAGAGTGCACAGCGAGCCACACAACCACGCTACCAGACACCTCGGCCTCCCTTTCAGCGGACGAGACGCGCGCGTGTGTCGGCGAGACCCACCACTCCATGACGATGAGCAGGCACTTCTTGCTCTGGTGGATGTTCTCGTAGACCTCGACGATGCGCACGATGTGGGGGCAGCCCGATGCGCGCCAGTGCATCTCCACCTCGCGCCGCGCCTTGGGGCAGTCGAGCAGCATCTGCGGCCGACAAGACAGCGCCCCGATCAGCTCGGGGTCACACTCCTCTCTCACTCTCTCACCCATCGTACCATCCCGCTTCCTTCTCACTCTGTTAGTGCTGCTATCACATGATCAACGCTGTCTTCAAACGTTGTGTTCTCGTAAAACGTCTCACCGTCTTCGAGCTGCTTTCATGTCACTCTGTTATTGCTACTTTAACACGGTGGATGTTGTCATGAACTTAGTGTAGTCGTGAACCTCACGCCGTCGTTCAGCTGCTTCCTTGCCACTCCATTGCTACTACAACGTGATCAATGCCATTTTGAACTACATGTTGTCATAACATGAACTGCGTGTTGTCTAGATTGTTTTTTGCGTTCAGTTTGTTGTAGGATTGTTCAGTTTGTTGTCCTTTCCCCGTACTTCTGATTAGCACGGTTGGCTACGTACGATGCGAAAGAAGTTTAACATCCATACATACATAAACTTCTCACCACCATTCAGCTGCTTCTACGTCACTGTTATTGCTATTACAACACGGTCAATGTTGTAATGAACTTCGTGTAGTCATGAACTCCGTGCTGTCGCTCAGCCGCCTCCTTGCCACTCTGCTATTGCTACAACAACAGTCAATGTTCTCACCGACTTTGTACCGTGAAATCTCCTCCCTCCAGTGCCATGGACTATTCTGCCGGACCAACGACCGTCTCCTCTCCTCTATTTCGATGCAAGGGCATGGCTAAGGAGAATAAATGGTGAAATGTTAGCAAATGTTACTTCTCGGGGCAGATGAAAGGAAGTTATTTTGACGCATATAATGGCAGCTAATCCTTTCCACCAATAGTGCCCTGTTATTGGCTTGTCTAAGAGGAGTCACCCTATACACGGAGCACGAAGTTATGGAACGATACCTGTTGCTAAAAGTTGAATTTGCATTTATGTACTTGATTTACGGTGGCTTCCACTACATGTATGTTTGAAACATTAAAAACAAAATAAACGTGTATTGCAAATAAATACATTTAAATGTGTATATATATACACACACAGAAACAACCGTAACAGATTTGCTTCAGAATTCAAATGGCAAAAATCTAAGTCTAAAATAATATTTATAAAAGCAAAAAAAACACTTTCTGTTAAACGGCACAATCAAACATATGTCCTAGGAGAGGGAGAGGGGGGGGCGTGCGCAACTTAGAGAGTTTGTAGCTAAATCAGAGACCAGTGCGATCGTGTGCAGATAGCCCAATGATTACAAGTGCTTGCTTGCCCTACTCCTGGCAGAAGGGGCCTCCACCTCCCTCTGGACCAGTGCTCTTCACTCATTTTCAGAGGGCGGGGGGGGGGGTGTGGTCACTTTCACCGATAAGACATGGGTGTGAGGACGGCCACACAATTTTAACTATCGCTGGGTGTGACAGCATTCCACATGATAAGACACTTTTTGTTGGGCTATCATTTGTGCCCGGGTCGCTTCGGGAAAAATAAACTATGCACTGCAAATCAGTGGGCATAACCTGGTCAAATAAAACCTAAGTTTAGTTTATGATGGGGGGTGTTGTCACGTGTTGTGTATTGTCGGGGAGGGGGGGGGGGTGCACATCAGGGGCTGCACCTAAGGCCACCAGGGGCCGCTCGTGGCCCGCGGGCCTTGCAATGAAGAACACTGCTCTCGAGGGTACTTGGCCTACTCTGCCACGTTGGCCAGAAGCCTTGGAAGATAAGTTTCATGAAAGCTTAGAATAAATATACGCTGTGCTCTAGCCAACAACAAGAAATGTATTAGGAGAGCGTAAAAGGTGCAGGCCTGCAATTACTTGCTCACGTCACTGCCGGCAGAACGGTTTCAACTAGAGGCAGCTTTGTATATACGTTAAACTTCTTTCACACCGTACGCAGCTAACAACGCTCATAGGAGGCGCTGCGTGTTGTTCAGTTCTCGTTAGAGAGCCTCTCCAAGATAATAATTGACCTGCTCTTTTGCATTGGCCAGACTTCTTAACAGAGGCGACAGCACTCATGCTCCACCAGACGCAGGCCTGTCGATTGACCAACTCTGGTCTACCCATTTATCCTGCTGCATGGACAGAGGAGGGATGATTTAAGACACTTGATGCGAATTTTAAAAAAGCTGTGAGGTCACGTAATGTGCATTACACGCAAATTAATCCAACACTATCTCAGATTGCGGGATTAAACGTTTTGTTGACAAGCGTTCATGAAACACATTCTTAATCTTGAAACAGCTACACAGCGGGTGTTATGCCACTCTGACTAGGCACAATTACATAACCCGGGCAGTCTGAAAGCCGAGAGCAAACTCGCCCGAGAGAGATGTGTTTTGCGTCAGTGAGAGCAAACGATTGATTTTTCGTAGAATTCACAAAGTGCGCAATTAGTGGCCGTGTAAACATGCAAATGGCAATGCGAGCAGGGAGTGATAAACAGCCAGGAATCGCAGCGGCAAGTAACATCTGAACCCAATCCTGGGGCCCTGCCATCACCAACCAGGAGGCCTTCATAAAGCAGTGGATTGCCAACAGTGCTGTGAATTATTGTTTATATCCGAAATACGATGGGGATCATCGCTGCCGGCTCACCTGACAGGTATTCACTTCCCTGTGGCTTCTGTGGGCCGGATGGCACTTGAATCGCGACTCTTTCGTCCTCATTCGTGGCACTACTCCCCTAACTGGGACCGAGCCGAGTTGGGGACGTCACCGGGTTCGAGTGGCCACCGCCCCCCCCCCCCTTCACCGCAGGCAGGTGAAACCCATACACTTGAATTCAGGACCTAAGTGTGCTGGCTCAGTGCGTTTGACACAGCATCATTCCAATGAGTCATCAGCCACCACTACTGTGCGCTTGCAATCGTCATCAGCCATGATTAACCTACTGCTGGACGAAGTCTTCCTGCCCCCCCCACCCGCCCCAAGCCGTCATCATCTCTCACGGTCTTGCGATGCAATAATCCACGTCTGGCTCCCGCACACGAGTTGATCGCGTTGCTCCATCTCCAAAGCGAACGTCCTCTCAGATGGCCTTCCATGCCTTTGCTGTAACTCAGTCATTATGCTTGACAATCAGCCATCATCGCCTACTGATGACCAAGCCCAATGCCTTTTCCAAACAGCACATAGTCCATTGTTCTCTAAACAATGTGCTTGTGTTAATAAGTTGTGTGAATGTACAATGGATGGAGGGTAAAGTGGCTGCTAACGTATTACCCATGACTCGTAATAACAGTTTCAAAATGAAGAAAACCCACTCAGGCCAGCCATGAATATCAACGAAGGTCATTGTGTTTAAAGCACTTGCTATAATCAACGCTTGAAAGTAGCAGGGGCTGAATTTTGACGAATTGCGCATTAATGGAAATTTCTCATTTAAAACCAGTCGGTGATGTCACGACGTGTATTAGCGCGGAGTTAGCGGATTAGCGGGTGAACTATCTGAACTTCAAATCAGTTTGATTTGGTGCTAAATTCACTCGTGAAAAGTGTTAAGCCACTGGCGAAGGAGCTCTATTGGCGAGAATGTGATCGATACATTGGCACGTTTAAATCATGACAGGAATGTTGACATTAAAAACGACTACGTGGCCCAACACAAAAACAAACACGGATCAGAGAAACCCAATCTCCAGTAAAACCTGAGCCTTGCTCACGCTAACAACAGGCACACCCCGTTCACAGTTCCTTGCGTTCCTTTCAAACACACACCGGCCCGGCAAGCGAGGCCGTGTGCATGTGTGCGTCTCTGCCCAATGTAGAAATTAAGAGGAAGAGCTTGAGGCAGGCTGAAGAAGGCCGGGGAGTGAGTGAAGCCCCGTGTACAGTAGTGGGGAGGGTGGCGCCCGTCACTGAACTTCCGCCAAGTCACCCCTCCCATGGCCCTCGCCGACCTCCCTGCTCTGGGAGGAGGAGGAGAAGGAGGGAGTAACATGAGAAAAGCTGCCCCGCAGATCTAATCTTGCTCGGGCCAGATGAAACCAGCTTACAGTGCAGGAGCACTAATAGTGTGTAACACCTCAACGTTGAAAGAAAAAAATTAGTCGTCCGACGATCGGAATCGGCGCAAATAATTTGACCGAGTACCCCCCCCACTCCCCTCGCCGTTCCAACCTCGGAAGCCAAGCGGGGGTTGAGCAAGTCGAGTGCTTGACAGGGGCGATTGACGTCCATTTAAAACAGGCGTCGTGGGCTGCTGCGGGCAGCAGAGAGCAGTGAAGCGAAATCCGCCGTTGTACTATACTCGTGCAAGCCCGCACATTTGAGCGCCTCGCCTCCGGCGTGAAGTACGGCCGAATAACTCGCACACACAACTTTCGTGCCCGACATGGTGGTGTGGGAGAAAGGGTAGGGGGGGGGGTTCATCCAGCAGTGGATTTACAAATCGTTACACATTTTTTTTCACATCGCACAACTCCCTTCCGTTTCCACGTACTGTATATACAAATATGTTCTCGCCCATCAGCCTATTTATTGCCTCTCCAGAATAATATTATACATGCAGACTTGTTTGAACAAGCAAACTCTGGACAATGTTTCAAGGCTTCTCGGTGTCACCGGTTGTATATTCATATCATTAAACACATCCCAATGCAGTCCGGGCACTGAGAGCCTTCAGCACAATTTTTCCGTGACAATTCGAGATAAAGTGGAAGTAACTTTTTTGGTCAACTTCCCCTTATTAATTTCATCGATGGCTGCTTCACCCCCGGGGCCAACAACCTCCCAAAACGTGGCCCGACCTGTCAAGTAACATCTGGCATGATCGCCGCAAAGTAACCAAGGACAACAGTAAGGAAATCACACACTCAATAGCCCGCTGGCCAGTGTGTGAAGGCGTAAGTTAGCCGTGCGAGTTTTAACTGCATTATCCCAATGTCTCGCCAACGTGCAGAACAAACATCTACTGGTCAGCGAATCCATATGGCCAACGTGCAGAACAAACATCTACTGGTCAGCGAATCCATATAGCCAACATGCAGAAGACATATCGACTCCTTCACC